AACCACCGAGCCACACCGCCCAGACTAGAAATTAGTTTAAATTGCTTGATGGGGAAGAGGATGTTCTGAGGTTGGATTTCGGAACTCCTCTCCCCTCGGTAGCTGAAATCAGGGCCGGAAATGCGGCTGGCGGCCTGCGTCTCCGAGGGTGGCGTGGGCACCGGGACAAGCGCTCGGGCAGCACCTGGAAGGCGGTCCTCGGGCAGGGAAGTGAGAACGGGAGCCGGGCTCAGGCCACCAGGGCAAATAAATGCCATATCTGACTGCAAGGATTTCAGCCTGAAATGATAAGCTTTCTGTTAAGGAATATAAAAACCCATCCCATGGTGGGGAAGGTTCATCTCGATGGATTTTTTTTTTTTTTTTAATGTTAAAAGAAGCTTTCCTGGTGGGTGGGGAGACAAAGTTTTTAAGAGGCTTTGGGACCAGGGGTGAGATTCCTGGAAGAAAGGGTTCAGGCTAAGCATAGGACTGTGAGGAATAGTTTTTCATCAACCAGCCTTTGGTCTTGATATCCACAAACAGGAATGTGCCATCAGGGGCCTTCCTGTCTGCATTGATTTTGAGAATCGCATTCTGTGCTACAACACGATTCCATTTGGAGTCCAGAGCAAAAGCCTCACTATCCATCCTTTTTTTTTATCCTTACTTGAGGACACTTTTTTTCCATTTTTTGTTCAGGTAGAGTGGGAAGGAGAGAGAGGAAGAGAGAGAGAGAAACATCGATGTGAAAGGGACACATCGAGTGGTTGCCACCCGCACGACCAACCAGGGCCGGGGACAAACTGCAACCGAGGTGCATGCCCTTAGCGGGAACCGAACCCGGTCTCTCTGGACCGCAGGCCGACGCTCTAACCGCTGAGCCAAACCGGCCAGGGCTTCTTTTTGTTGGTGTTCAAGAGATGACATGGAGGAGAGAGAACTCTATGTGTCCCAGGAGGTGCCCTGCTCGTCCCCGAGGAAGTTCTCAGCCCAGAGGGACGGAAGGATCTCAGTCCTGGGATCGGAGGGTGAGGAACCCCAGGTCCTGATCTTTGGAATGTGTGGGATCCTTGCGGACTCCTGGCAAAACAGTTGAGAGCAGTCCTGGTTAGCATTACGTGTTCAGCTACCCTGGGGCCCAAATGTCTGATCCAGAGAAAAGAAGGGTCTTGGGTAGAACCTCTTTACAACGTGTAAGAGGCAAAATATGGACATTAGGAAAATATCTGAAAGGGCTCTCAGCGAACGGCTAAGGCCCAGCTGGGCACAGGGGTGGACTGTATAACAGACTCCACGCTGGGACAGCATGGGGACCCGGGGCGGGACTGCATCTGGCCCAAGCAGATGGAGGATCAGATGGGGGAAAGGGGACAGGTCCTTACGGATCCTCTAGTCCAGCCTCTTCCTGATAGAAACAGGCCGAGAGGGGACTGACGGTTCAGGCGTCAGGACCCAGCTCAGTTCACAACACAGACTCTAGCCTCCCAATCCAGGGGGTGCCCAGGAGGAGTCCTGGCCTTTGGGAACTGGAAGCAGAGCCAAAGCCCTTGCCCAGATAACCAAGTACTCTTCTGCTACCGAGGCACATGCTTCTACTGAATCCCATGGAAAGGGAGCCACTTGGGCAGCCTGGAGTGATGGCAGCCCTCTTTTATTATCATTTTTTAATTTCCATCTTTTTTTTTGTTTTAATTTTAGAGAGCGAGGAACGGAGAGGGAGAGAAAGAGAGAAACATTGATGAGAGAACATCGATTGGCCACCTCCTGCATGCCCCCCACTGGGGATCAGGCCCACAACCTGGACATGTGCCCTGACCAGGAATCAAACTGGCGACCTCTTGGTGCATGGGTTGATGCTCAACAACTGAGCCACACCGGCCAGGCCCTCTTTGTTTCTTTTAATGTTAGATCTTTTATTTTTAAAATTATTTTTTTACAGAGAGAGGGAGAGAGAGATAAACATCGATGTGAGAGAGAAACATCGATCAGCTGCCTCCTGCATGCCCCCTACTTGGGATTGATCCCAAAACCCAGGCGTGTGCCCTGACTGGGAATCGAACCAAGGCCTCTCAGTCCATGGGATGATGCTCAATCCACTGAGCCACATGGGCTGGGCGAGAGCAGCCCTCTTAAAGGGTCACAACACCTGACCCTGTTCATCACCTACCCAGTAACTCCCCCCTTTTTTCCTGCCAGAACCCAGGTTTCATAGTGGGTAGAAATCTTTTATTTCAAGAAACAGGCCAATTCCCCAAGCCCAAGAGATGGGTCCTAGTGGGTCTCATGGTATTCCAACAGTACCCCAATTACCCTTTGTCAGTGATTGGCCTACGGGTGGGCATATGACCTAGTTCTGGCCAATGAGACATAACGGGAAGTGTGTCAGGGCTCCTGGGAAAGCGTTTGCCTTCCTGATGAAAGGGAAGGATGAGGAGACAGTCCTGCCCCCACCCCCCACCTGTCTTCCTGCCCTCGATACACACGCACAGGTAGCAGACGGGTAAGGCGCGAGGGTAACGGAAGGCAGGATGCCCTTAGGATGGCAGAGTGGATGGCAAAGCCCAAGTCCTTGGCCTGAGTGTGCTGCTGGACCAACACCTCCAGGCTTCTTGCTAAGCAGACACGAAGTGCCCTTACAGTTTAAGGTACTGTTAGCTGCGTTTCTCTCTTACTTGTAGCCAAAAAGAATCCTGATTGGCACCAGCCATAACTGTTAGTGTAACTCCAACCAACTTCAAGAGAAGTTATATAGAAACAGCTTTCGGTCAGCCTCCCCAGCTTTGGGATCCACGCTCCTAAAGCCCCCACCCAGCTCTCGTCAGTCCTCAAGCAGATGGAATTTGGGAGAGTCCTCCACCCATCCCCCACATTGCCCCTCCTCAGCCTGGCTGGTCCTACTCACCTCCCAATGTGCACTTTGGATGACCTTCCCTGACCTTGCCCACTAGCACAAGGTGTGCATCTCACTGACCCCACCGATCACCTGCTTATTTACGATCACACTTATGGTGGCCGGGTCTGCGTCAGTCAAAGCTGGCACTGGACCCAGCAGGCAGGTAAGTCCTCGGGCAGACACGTCCATAGCAGCGGTGTAGACAGCAGTAAGTAATGAAGGGGTGGATCCATTTTACCTTGGTGGGGGCACCAGCTCGCCATTCTCAGACCACCCTTTCCAACCAAATGCTTTGCTTCTTCGGGCAAAAATCAGCCCTGTCTGCTCCAACACTGTCCTGAGCCCGTCAGAGGTGGCGGCAGGAAGGGGCTCTTGTTGGATGATCCTCCCTGAGCAGGCAGGGCCTCGGGGTGGACTTGCTCTGGGCCACTCACTTTTCCCCACAGGCCCTACAAGGCCAAGGCCCTTAATGACTAGAGGAAGGAGCAGTGGACACGGAGGCGAAGATCTGGATTGGAACCCTAAGTGCTACGAACTCGATGCGCGTGACTGGACACGTGGCTGCCTTGGTTTCTCTGAGCCTCAGTGTTCTTGAAAGAGAAACAAGGATACAGAATAAGACCTGCCGATCTCACAGGGCTGCTGCAAAGGTCAAGCGAGGTGAGTGGTGGGTGCGCCAGGTCCAGGAGGCCTGGCGCACAGGAGGTGGGCAGTGAGTGTCCACTCATCGCCTGCCCCTGCTCCCCACACAGAAAGCCAGACAGCACGATGCACCTTTTCATGGGAGGCAGCTGGGGTGGGCAAGAATCCTCCCACCCGAGGAAGCAGGTACATGCCCGGTCCTTGAGGGGTTTCCCTGGGTCCCCATACTTTCTCCTGCCCTGGAAACGCCCTCCATGGACCTCTGTCTGCTATGGCCCTTCTCCCAGAGCCTGGAAGGAAGAAAGGGGGCTGCTGGGTAAGAGGGAGGGTGTTTCGTGTCTCTCACAGGGGTCCGAGGGTTCCCACCGCCACTCCGGGGTCTCTGCTGCAGCAGCTTCAGGGAGATTCACTCCCGGGCAGGGGCCATCTGCTCAGGGACCACCCAGCACTGCTCATTCCCAGCGACGCTCCGCCAGCACCAGGCATGACCTCGAAGGCCAGCAGGCTTTCCCCAGGGGAGCTCAGCTCTGGAAGGACACACACACTCTGAAGGGACCCTGCTCTTGGCAATCAACAGCTGTATTCACCTCTGGGCCTGCAGGGGAGGGATGACCTAGACACCCGACTGTGACCCCGAAGGAGCCATCGTGCCCATACTTGGAGTGTGATCCCAGCTGTGTGGGGCGGCAGGAGGAACGTCTCCCAAAGAGCCCAGCTGACCTGCCGGGAGAAAAGAGGGGATCCCAGCGGATGTTGGCCCAGAAGACAAAGGGACCTGGGAGGTGAAGGAGCTGCACTGGAGACGGGGAAAGGGGTCCGAATTGTCAGTTAAAGCGGAGCACGGTGAGGAGAGCTGGTTTGCCAGGGGTGTGCCGCGGGGGGCGTCGCCCGGAAGTTATCAGCTCAGAATTCCTCATCCCTTGGTGTTGGCACTAAACTCCTGGGACTCCAGGAGGCTGACAACCACTCTCACTTCAGCAGTGGGAAGCTTCCCAGAACCAGACGTTCTGTCCCCGGGCTGGGCTGTCCCTTCCAAGTGACAGGGGTGATCTGAGGCAGCCCAAGGTCAGCAGCAAGAGGCAAGGGCTCTGGAAGGTCGTTTGCTCCGCTCTCAAGCTGGCATCTGATTCCCCTCTGGATGACCTGGGACTGAGCAAGTGGACATCAGAGCCCAGCGTGGGGTCAGCTCTAGGCTGAGTTGAGGCAGGAGCCGGCATCCTGGTCCCTGTGCAGCTTGTCCCAGAGATGATGGCAGGTCCCCAGGAAAGATGGAAGCCAGCTGCCTCTTGGGAGTCTCCCTTCACTTCCAGACCTACCCTCCAGCCAGCCGTCCCCAGCGACGACCCGGGCCTGGGTCTCTGTGGGGTGTGGGCATCATCGGGTCACTTTGGGGTGTGCACCCCAAAGCTCTGCTGTAAGGTGTGCCAGAAGGTTCGGGAGTCCTCAGGAAGGCGGGGGCTGGGCTGTGGTTTCGTGGCTCTCCCTAAGTCTCAATATGCGTCACATTAGCCCAGTCAGGGAAACCATCCAGGTCAAATATGACCCGTCCCCAGGTGTTGACCGCAAGAAATACACAGAAGATTCCAATGACGTTCATCATTAGTCCCGTTTTCACCTGGAAAAGAACAGGACCAGAGTCAGCGCCCTCAGGCCACCGGGCTGTCGGAACAGAGGTGAACGGGACACGGGGCGCTAGTGCTCTTGTACAAGGGCTCTCGGGCTGTTTTGCTGGGCCTCCCCTCCCTGGGCCATGCTCTGTGCTCACCCCCAGACAAAGCAATTTCCTATCAAGTAAGTATCATCAGCGCTCAGAGCGTCCCTGGGAATCAGGCATGCTGGTGTGTTCTCTGCCTAATTGAATATTTGGAAAACTGGGCCTCGGGGAGGTGACACGAGGCAACACCTAAGCCACTCGGAGAATTACTGGGGGAGCCCGGGTCTGACTCGAGGGCCCATGCTTACCCCAGCACCTCCACTGTCCCACAAGCACCTGCTGGCTTCCCAGGAACCTCCCATGGCTCTTTCCGATGCCAGTTCTTTCTTCCTGCTCACTGGCCCCTGCTCTAAGCACTGTTGTCGACTTTTTTTTTTTTTTTACCCTCACCTGAGGACATTTTTTCATTTTTTGTTCAGATAGAGTGGGAAGAAGAGAGGAAGAGAGAAACATCGACGTAAAAGGGACACATCGAGTGGCTGCCACCCGCGCGACCCAATCAGGGCTGAGGACAAACTGCAACCGAGGTACGTGCCCTTAGTGGGAACCGAACCCGGGTCTCTCTGGACCGCAAGCCGATGCTCTGACCGCTGAGCCAAACCGGCCAGGGCTGTCGTCGACTTTTTACTGAGGATTGGAACTGAGTGAGTCCATGGTTTCTGGACTCTCCCCTCTTTTTAAGAATGCTCCACGGGCTCGGCCAGTGTGGCTCAGTGGCTGAGCATCACTCCATGCACCAAGAGGTCACTGGTTTGATTCCCAGTCAGGGCACAAGCCCAGGATCCCCAGTGGGGCATGCAGGAGGTGGCCAATCGATGTTCTCTCTCATCAATGTTTCTCTCTCTCTCTCCCTCCTTTCTCTCTAAAAAAAAAAAAAAAAAAAAGCTCTATGGAGTCCCAGATACCCAGTGGAGGCTGAGGTAACTCCCACCTGGCTGGGCGGAGGGAGGGACCCTCACTCCCCCATCCTCCTCTCAGAGCGGCCCCCCTTCTCTTGGCAGAAGTGATAAAGCCCAAGCAGAAGGAAAGAGAGACCCTCCCCCGGCAGCGTCTCTCCCAGGCACTGGTCTCTCTTCCTGTCCCCACTTCTCTGTCTGCGGACACCTCTGTCGGTCAATCTCTCTGGCTGTCATCAGGATTCGCCCCCCACCCCCGCCCCACCCCCAAGCCATCTCAGCCTTGTCTGTCCCGACTGCCCTTAGGGCTTCTTGCTAGTTTGTGAGGTCCACCTTGGCCCCATGAGACCCCCCCTCTCACCCCTTCCAAGGGTTCAACCAGGGCCCCCCTGGGGAGATCCTGTAGCCCGCCTCTCAGCTTTGGGAGACAGAACAGTGTGAAAAGTGAGATCATTCCAAAAAGAAGAAGAAAAGCGGCATATAAATGCAAGTACTGAGGACAGATCTGGATCGTGGGTGGTATTCCCAACTCACGGGGCATCACACGTCACTAACAAACAGGGCGCCCCTCAGGACGAGGGCGGCAGAGCGGGTAGAAGTAGATAAAAGTGGCTGCGTTACCATGTCAGAAACCTTGAGGTGTCCGTAGGCAAACACGATGGCATTAGGCGGGGTGGCCACAGGCAACATGAAGGCAAAGGACGCACTCAGGGTACAGGGGAGCATGACGTACAGCGGATTGAGGCCAATGGAACGTGACTGGGGGGAAACACAGCACTGCAGAGTCACATATAAGGAAACGAAAGCTTCTGGGACCATCATTCTGAAAAGCATCCTCCTAAGGTACTGTGAGCGTCCCCACCTCTGCACCTTGGTCCTTCTGGGTCCTCTACCCTTCGCCAGGCCTCTGGATGATAACTCTGCTGCACCCCAAAGGCAGTGCTCACAGCCATCTCCCCGGAGGCCTTTCTGAAGCCCCTCAATTCATTCAACATGTATTTCTTGGGCACCTACTATGTGCCAAAGACCATGCTTGTCACGCAGACCGCACTCATCGTGACATGTTCCTGCAGCCCACGTGTGCGCACATCCGTCTGTCCTGCCACAGGCTGAGCGCGCCCCGGGGGCAGGGACCACATCTTTTCACCTACAGATACATCTGTGTGTGCATGTGATTTTGTACACATTTGGGATCATTTTGAGTATGGAATTTGGTATCTATTTTTTTTACTTTTCAGCTTAAAATCCAGCCACATGTAACAGCATCTGGCACACTCATTAAATATGTGTTGAATGATATAACAATGTAATTCAGAAAACCTGTCAATATCTATCAAATAATATACTGAACGAATGATATAATATAATGAATGATACCTGTCCATATCTATCAAAATTAATGATCCAGCATGCAACTTACATGCACGAGGGCAGACACGAATACAAAAATGTTCACGGCAACATTGTAATAGCAAAACACACAAGAAACTGACTCAACAGCCATCAGTAGCAGGATGGTTAACTAAGATATGTATCTACAAACAATGAATAGTCTGCAGCTGTAAAGAACTGAGTAGGTCTTATGTGGTAACATGGAAAGGTCTCCAAGGTCTACAGTTAGATTTTTTAAAAATTTAAGGTGCAGAACAGAACAATTTGTTTAAAAAGTGTGTGTGTGTGTGTGTGTGTGTGTGTGTGTGTGTGTAATGCACCCAGAAAGATATCTAAGAAATTAGTAACAGAAGTTGTCTATCGAAGGAAGCTAGAGAGTTAGGGCCTTTTATACTCTTTGCTATTATTTGACATTTGGAAGCCATGTATATGGATTACATTTCAACTTTAAAAAATTATAGCCATGGCCAGGTAGGTGGCTCTGCCGGTTGGAGCATCGTCCCATACACAAGAAAAAGGTTTGGGGTTCAATTCCCAGTCAGGGCACATAACTAAGTTGTGGGTTTGATTCCCTGGTCGGGGCACATATGAGAGGCAGCCAGTCGATATTTCTGTCTCACATGGATGTTTCTCTCTCTCTCTAAAATCAATAAGCATATCCTTAGGTGAGGATTTTTAAAAAAATTATACACATTCCCATTTTATTAAATGCCCTTCAAAACTGATTTTAAAAAAGTGGCTCGATAACATTACGGTGTGTGCGGATATAACCTCTTCCATCAATCCCTGTTATGGAAATATCTCATAAGAAATAATTCTGTGTGCATCTTTATAATACAGTCGACCCTTGAGCAACGTGGGTTCGAACTGTGTGGGTCTACTCGTACATGGATTTTTTCAATAAATGTACAGTCAGCCTCCGCACCCCCAGGTTCCCCACCTGCAGACTCACGAACCAAGTGGGAACCGCGGGTGTGGGCACATGTATGCATGGCTCTACGCCACTGTACATAAAGGACGTGCGCACCCGCAGGTCTGGGTACCTGCGGGAGGTCCTGCAACCCGTCCCCCGTGGATGCTGAGGGACTGTAGTTAAGTTCTGGGAGCGTCAGAAGTAATACTGTGCAGCGTCGTTCAACAGTCCGCTGTAGTGCTTGTGGGCGTCTCTGACCATTTCCTAACACGTCCCCAGCCAGGAGCTGCTGAGTCAAAGGGTAGGAGTGGGTTTCAGGTTACGGCTGCTGTGGGCAGGCAGGTCTCTGACAAGTTCCACTCCCTCTGGGCCAGGGGCCCAGTCTATTTCCTGCTTCCCCCATTTGTCCTGGCCTTGAGTACCCAGGGCGTGTGCACCCCATGTGGCTCCGTGACCCAGCTGGGTCCTGAGGCAGGAGTGCGAGTTGTCTGTGGGAGCCTTACTCGGGTTTCTGATTCTGGAAAAGCTTGTTCTGGAAGGGCCTGGCCACCCCCTCAGGCTAAGACCTTGTCTGTCTGGCTCAGGGCTTTGGGGCCCCCTGTTGGGGCTGGAGGTGACAAAGCCAACCTTTGCTAGAGGAGGGGGGGCCTCAAGGATGCTCCTTGGCATACGCCTGAGCAGCCTGTTTAGGGGCGGGGAGATGGAGCCACCTTGCTATTTCTAACACTGTCACATTCACTTGGATTGAAAGGAGACACCGCATGGACACCTTGACAGTCAAACGGAAATTTACCAACTGCGGGCCTGTGTTCAGGTGTTTGAAGTCTGTCTCCCGACTCCAGAATGGCAGCCGCAGCCTCTCCCGGGCTCATTTGCAGCCACAGAGGGTTTTCTCAGCCCTCACCTTACTCATCCCTCAGTGCGGGAGGAAAGAGCTGTGGGCTTGAACCCCAAGCCCAGGGCTTCTCCTCTGCCACCTTGAGGTCGGTCCTGCCGTGAGTGGCAGAAGAAAATGCACAAAAACATCACAGCAGACTTTCCCGTGAGCTCTGCTTCCTTCTAAGTCCCAACGCGACAGCATGCTTGCCCCTAGCACACTGATCCCCGATCCCTGGCTCACCACGCAGGGCTCCTGGGAGTCTTCAGTCATGCACTCCATTTCCTTTACTTGGGGTCTCCATCTTCCCAGAAGTTCCTGTCCCCCAAACCATCCCCAAGCCCCACCTCCCCCAAGGCCTCTTCCCGGCGGATCCCAGTGAGCGGTGTCCGCCTCTGCACATCGTGCCCTCATCCCCGCACGGCATTGGTCCGCTCCTCCTGGGCGCCAGTCCTGGCTCCCCAGCTTGAGAAACAGTCAGTCACACTTATAAATACATTTTGAGCACCTGCTTTACGCTTAGCGCTTTGGCCGGCATGGAGAACACAGAAAACAACAGCAAGGCACTGAGGGCAAGCCCGGGGTCATCAAGGGCACACAGGTCCGATCAGAGCCAGGCCTGAAAGCCCAGCTGGGCTCTGGCTCCTGATTTCACTGCCTCACTACGGACATGGTCATGGACTGACAGCTTCTTGTGAAGTGATGGCTAAGGGCCCCCACCCCCTGGCAGGGTTACTTACCATGGTGGCAAAGATGGGCAGGAACAAGGTGGTGGTGGCCACGTTGCTGGTGCACTCAGTGAACACGGCAATGAGCAAGGACAAGATCAAGGAGATGGCTGCCGGAGGCAGAACGTGCAAGGGCTCCATCTGCTGCCCCATCCATTTGGACAAGCCCGAGACCTGGGAGGCACCAGCAGGGCAGTCACTGCTTACGGTTCCTCCAGGGCCAGGAGGGACCCTCATCTTTCTCTGGGCAGCTCAGCCCATCCCCTCCTTCCTAGTCTCTCTGCATACATTCCACAGGAGATCTCCTCCATGCCCACAATTCCAACTTCCATCCTCATTCTTCTGTCTCCCAAATGTGTGTTTCTAGCCCAGCAGGTCAACTGTCCAGATTTAAACATGCATACTCCTCCTAGAAATTTCCACCCAGGTGTCCCAAGAGCATGTCCGACTCAACCTGCCCTCACCTGCATTCTTCCTCTCTAGCCCAGAGTCTACCGCTCCCCCTGGGTGCCCCAGCTTGCTGAATGGACTCATCATCCACCTGCTACCCAACCTAGAAGACCAGGAGTTGTCCTGGGGATCTCTGTCCCCCTCATTCCTTCCACCCAATCAGTCACCAAGTCACCCAAAACATCTCAGGCCCGCTGTCTCCCACAGCCCCTGAAGCCCAGGAGAGATCTGAGCCAGAAACTGGGGGTCTGGATTCAGTGCTTTGCACTGAGAAAAGATTGTCCGGGGGAGAGAATGAAAGTGGACAGACAGGAGGCCAAGGGTAGAGCCTGGAGGAACACTCACACTTAAGGGAGAATAGAGGAAAAGCCAGTAAAAGAGGCTGAGCAGGAACAGTCAGTCAGAAGGAAACCAGGAGAGAATGGTATCTTGGGGACCAAAGGAGGAGGGACTGGTCCATGGAGTCCCATGTTCTGAGGCTGAGTGGGATAAAAGCCACCGAGCATCTCCCGGGTCTCCCTCAACCCCGGCCCTGCCCAGGCCTCCACCCCAGACATCAGTGATCTTCCCCCAGTGCAGGTCTGACCAAGTCACTCTCTGGCCTCAACCCTTCAGTGGCTGCCACTACCTGCGGAATAAAGTCGACACCCCCTCTCTTGAATTCAAGACTTTTATGAAGCAGCTTCTGCTAGCCTCACCAGGCTCATCGTCTGTGCCTTAGCTCGGTGCCACACACTTATTCCTTTACCGGTGTGTGTCTTCTTTCCGAAATGCTCTTCCAGACCTCTAGTCTGTGAAGTCCTCAAGAACAAGGACATTTTAATGTCCTCTGTAATTCCCATGCCTGGGCTAACAGGGACATCATAGAAACGTTTGGTGAATGAATGAATAAGTGAATGAATGATATGATAGATGGACAAGTGGATAGAGAAGTGACAAGATGAATCGATTTGTTCATCAAAAGAATGTTTATGCACCTGCCTTGCACCAGGCTCTGTTCTAGATGCCAAGGAAACAGAATAACAGATAGACCCTGTCTATCTACTACATTCTATTCCTGGACAGATGGACAGATGGGTGGATGCATGGGGGTAGATGGCTCATCCCTCCCTCTGGCTCATTTCTTCCCTATCACGGAAGGGGGGGAGGTGAGAAAGTTACATTTTGGCCCTGGCTGGTTTGGCTCAGCGGTTAATGCATCAGCCTGCAGACCCAAGGGTCACAGGATCCATTCCTGTCAAGGGCACATACCTCAGTTGCAGGTCCAATTCCCGGCAACCAATCAATGTGTCTCTCTCACATCAATGTTTCTCTCTCTCTTTTCCCTCCCTTCCACTCTACCTAAAAATCAATGAGAGCCCTGGCCAGTTCGGCTCAGCGGTTAGAGCGTCGGCCTGCGGTCCAGAGAGACCCGGGTTCGGTTCCTGCTAAGGGCACGTACCTCGGTTGTGGTTTGTCCGCGGCCCTGGTTGGGTCGTGCAGGTGGCAACCACTCGATGTGTCCCTTTCATGTCGATGTTTCTCTCTCTCTCTCTCTGCCTCTCTCTCCCTCCCACTCTATCTGAACAAAAAATGGAAAAATGTCCTCAAGTAATGATTAAAAGAGAGAGAAAAAGTTACATTTTGGGGTGGTTTTTCCCCAAAGCTGTTCCTCTCCATCTACACTGCTATATCCTCAGCTAGAGAAAAAAAATTTGAATGGCAACCCTATCAACAAAGATCTCAGCGAGTAGAAGAACCCAAAGTAGCGGTGGAATTATCCAGGGACTAGAATCTATCAGGGGAAGGTCCTTGTTGCCAAATCCCAAGGAGACCTCGTGGATCCCCTGCCTCCTTCCACTGGGCAGGGCCCTTTAGGTCACCTGTTTCCACGACCACGGGAAGCGCTCTCTCTATTCCAGGCACTACTCATGCACAGCTGACCAGACAGAATCCCTGTCCCCGAGAAAGGTGCAGTGAGTGGAGGTTCTGACACAGACCCGGCCCAGGGGTGCAGGGGTGGAGGGACGTAGCGAGCCTTTGGCCACCCTCCCGTTGAAGGGGGGGGCCCTGGGCGGCCCGCAGCCGGAGCGGTTACCTCGCATCCTTTAGCCAGAGCGAATCCGCCCCCCAGCAGCAGCACGATGCCCCAGGGGACTTTCTCCTGCGTGACCTTCCAATCCAGCAGCGCAGGGGGATAAAAGGGAGTTTTCCTCTCTGAGAAGAAACAATAAAAACACACAAATGAACAACCCAGAGCAGCCTTATGAAACAAAAAACATCGAATCAAGGTGAATAAAAGCCTGTAAGGACAACGAGTGCCGTCCCATATCTATAAATTAGCTACAGTAACTAAATTGTAAATTTAACGGCGGGTGAAAATGTGGCAAAACTATTACACACTCCTAGTAGTATTATAAATTGCCAATCTTTCTGAAAGGCAATTTGGCAATACATTTAAGAGCCAGTAAGACATACATATCCCAGTAACATCACTTCTAGAATTTATCCTGAAGAAGAAACCCCCTCAAAGAAAAAGCTATAGACACGAACACGTTAATTTATAGTAATGAAAATTTTAAAACAACCAGAATGATCCATATCAGGAGAATGGTTACAGTCCCTCGATGCAATATAATGCCGTTATTAAAGAAGACAAGTTTGAAAGACGTGGTGAGAGAAAGAAATGTTTAGAGAGTAACCCACGCAAAACCATGAGAACAGAAACAACAAAGCAACAGGGTTCAAATTGTGTGTTTTGATTGTAGTCATATCATATATTACTTACTAATACAGACTGGGAGGCCCTGGCCGGTGTTCTCAGTGGTTAGAGCATCAGCCCAAGGACCAAAGCGTCTCGGGTTTGATCCCCAGTCAAGGGCATGTACCTGGGTTGCAGGTTTGATCCCCAGCCCCGGTTGGGGTCATGCAGGAAGCAACCAACTGATGTGTTTCTCACATCGATGTTTCTCTCTCTCTTTTCTCCTCTCTCCCACTCTCTCTAAAAATCAATGGAAAAAAATATCCTCAGGTGAGGATTAAATACATAAAAAAGACTGGGAGGAAGAGAGAAACCCACAAAATATTGATGGCATTATGAGAAAACGTCTTCTGTCCCTGTCGTAATATTAATACAATATCAAATGTTCACAAAGCAGAAGAGACTGTGTACTGAACAATACGTGGGAAGGCCTGGAAAGCCCCTCTGTCCAGACTTGCGTCCTCGCCAGTCCTCTTGGCCAGAGCGGGCTCTTCTCCCTGCCGAGCCCGGACTCCCGCAGAGCCCTGATGAGGGGAGGCCGGCACCGGAGACCTACCTTCCTCGCTCTGGCTGCAGAAGTTGAACTTGGGCTTCTGCGAAGGCACAATGAATAGCAGCATGGCCACGAAGATGGCCACGGTGGCGTCAGAGGCATACCTAGTCGGGGAGACAGCACAGGAGGAGCCAAGTCAGCCGCGCCACAGACCCGCACCGCATCGAAACCCGCCTCCGTGAAGAAACAGGCTCCGCTGCGGTGAGAACTGCAACCCCAAAGGCCAAGATCAGGAACCCTGGCTGGAAACCAAGGCCCCCCCACTCCTGGCCTGGCTCTGCCGCCAGTGTTGGGTGACCCTGGGCAGCTCACTGCCCCCAACATCCTGTGTGGCTCCATGAGCGAACGCCGTGGCCGCTCCTGGGCCAGGGTCTCTAGAATCCGGGCTCGCCAGGTGACCACGGCAGACCTGCACCGTGCAATCAGCAGTACGGCAGCGGTTCCCGCCACACACCTGCTTTTCCAGGCTGGGCCTGTCCCGGCCTGTCTTACATCTGACCACAGAACCTCTGAGCCAGGGGAAAATCGACACATACCCCCTGCTGCCAAGTCTCTGCCTAAAGCAGCGATTGGACCCCAGGATCTGTGCCTTCAGATCCCTGTCCAGATCTAAAGAGGGATGAGGGGAAAGAGATGATGAAGGAGAGGTTTGGAAATCAGAGCTCCGGACGCCCCACTCCAGCCCTACACAGTTCTCTCTGTCACAGCCCTGGCCACCAACCTGGCCAGGTATTTTCTGCTCAGCCTGTTGGGAAAGGAGGGGCCACCTGTGGGTTTGTCCTAAAGATTCGTGAGGAAAAAAAAAAGGCTCCAGCGGGTGTTGCTCAGTGGTTAGAGCGTCAGTCCAGGCACCAAAAGGTCATAGGCTCGATTCCCAGTCAAGGGCATGTATCTGGGTTGCAGGTTCGATCCCCGGCCCCAGCTGGGGTACGTGCAGGAGGCAGCTAGTCGATGTGTCTCTCTCACATCCATGTTTCTCTCTCTCTCTCTCGCCCTTCCCCTCCCTCTCCCTCCCTCCCTTCCACTCTCCCACAAAAAACAGAGAGTCAAGAAGACAACAGAGTGCCCCCGAACCCAACTACAGAACGCGGGAGTGCCGTGGCGGGTGCTGCCGAACGAGGGACTTACTTGGTCTCGCCCTCCACCCAGGCGAGCGACACCCAGCCGGGCATGAAGCCGGGGTCCCTGGAGAACCACAGGCTGACCAGCAAGAGGAAGCAGAGCAGCACGTTGACCTCGGCGAAGGAGAAGGGCCCCAGCTTCCTGTACTCCTCCTGCAGCACCTTGTAGGCAGCCTTCTCGCTGCTCCTCTCCTGCCTGCAGCCCCAGGACTTTCTAAAACTGGAGGAGGCAAAGACAAGGGAACAGAAGGCAGGTTGGTTGGCTCAGGGGCTGGACAGAGGGACGCCTGCACGCCGGGCAGAGAACATGATGGCGAGACCTAGGGCGCTGCCCCTGGCCGGGCCGGGGTGCTCGAGCAAGTGCCTGCCCCGTGCGGTGTCTGTCACTCCTACCACACCTCACAGGATTTGGCAGGGGACGTCTCTTACATGCCCCGAGTACCCAGAACTGGAAGATGCTCCCAGAGGAGGCTCAAGATGGCACAGGTGAGGAGGCCAGGACGGACCCGGTCTCCGGGGCAACGGAGGTAGGAGAGGAGAGGACGGCCAGGGTGGGAGGCTGAGTGGAATTCGGGGAGGGGTGGCCAGGAGCATCGGAGGCAGAAATAAGCGGGACTGAGGCTGCCACTGGCCATGGAGACCTGGCTGCTCCTGTCATCTGTCCCCCAGGGAAAGGCCATGAGAAGCCTGGAGCCAGCTCAAGGTGGAACCAGGGCTCCCTCACATGCTCAAGCCTTTGTTTCCCTACGGTGGCCTGGAGCTGCCTTCAAGGGTGCCAGGGTGCCAGTGCCCATCTTTGAGGAGGCTCAAGGGGGCACAAAGAGCACGCAGGCTGGGCCAGGCAGGAGCAGGGTGGGAGCTTGCATCCTGAGGAGCTGGAGGTGTGGGCTCGGGATCCAGGAGATGGGCTAGCAGCAGGCATGGCCGTGGCAGGAGGGAAGCCAGCCCTGGCTCTGCTCTTGATGGGTTCCTTCGGGACCCGTGCCCACTGGCCAAAACGGCCTGCCCAGGATGCGCGGCGGGACTTCCTCCAGGGGGCGCTGGCATGAGGAGGCAGGGAGGAGGAAGGATTCTTGGAAGAGGTGTGGAGGGTACTCAGCCACGGGGAGAGGCTAACTGGGGCCCCCGGGGCCCAGGATCCGGGCCTTCAGGAATTCTACAAGGAACCCATGCCTGTCCACCTGAAGAGGGCGGGCCCGGCCAGGGGAAACGTCCCTAGAGAGCCCTCCCTGTGGGCATCCTTCCTGAGGCCCCAAGACAGACTTCACGGGGGGCGGGGGGGGGACTAGTGCCAAGATGCCAGTTTCTGAAGCCAAGGCCGGACGAAAGCCGCCTGTGAGGGTCATGCTGGTGAGGGGCACGGCCTGGAGCCCGGGCCGCAGGGAGGTCAGGACACAGCAGTGCTCAGGGATTGGGAAAGGAAGAGGCAGTGATGGGGTCTCCTATCTGCACAGCCTGTGGGATCTCTGTGCTGGACAAGGGGGCGAGGCTGTGCATCCCGAGGTCACCCGGCATGGGGGTGCTCTGCTGGTGTGGGGGGGAGCCTCTCACCCCCTTGGCACGGGAGAGTCCGTTTGGACCAAGGATCGATCTGCTGCCAACTGTCATTCTCGAAACTCTGGGGTTGGGCCAGAGGCTTCAGGTGCCCAGGATAAGGCCTGACTCGGACACTCCCAGCTGCCCAGCCCGTATCTGATGCTGGTGACACGTCCCAACACCACACAGCCACAGCCTCTGGGGGCTGCACCGCACATGCAGCTGTCCCGTGCTGGATCCCCACAGTGGTGTCGCCAAGCCTTCGAGACCCTCTTCTGCTACTTGGCTTCACCCTCACCTCTGGGTTAACCCTGACTGGTGACCGCTGGGCTGGCACGAGACCAGGCAAGTGGACCCAGTGTGCCCGTGGGAGCCCAGGGGGAGGGATGGGTACACAGCGTCCTTCTGCAGCAGCACGGCCTTCAGACTGATGCGGATGAACTGCCACGGAGCCGAGAGGTGGCGGAACCCCTGAATCCCTGAGTGCCTCTGCTGTGGCAGGGGTCCAGAAAATGCTCCCTCCGAATCCAGGGCCGGCCTGGTTAGGGCAGTTGGGTATAAGCCAGCAGTGATGCCCCATTAGTCCTGGGTAGTACTGGTGGGGGGCTGTGGCCCACTTGGCTGGAAGTAGCCAAGGGGGTCACCCATAAACCCAAAAAGATAGTTTTCCTGGATCAGGCCAAAGGCAAAGGCCCGGACATTGCTCTCCACGGCCGACCTGGTGAGAGATTCAAGTGAAGGCTCAGCAGAGACGCTTCCCACCGCTGAGACAGGCGCTGTCTCAGGTGAGGTGGTCCAGGAGGCACGGAGGTGGGGGTCACCAGGTCCTGGTGCATGGCAGGACATGGCCTGGGCTGGAGGACATCTGCTGTCTGAGTATTCAAGCTGAGTAGAAAAGCTCTAAACAAGGCTTCCTGGGAGCCACCCCTCGGCGCCCCGCCACACTCCAGGTCTGTCTGGTGAGGGTCCCTGGGCTGAACAGCATGCCGGGAACGCGTACGATGGGCGGCAGCCCTGAGCCCAACCACAGGCAGAGTGCAGAAGCCTCCAGCTCCCTGCTGGTCAAGAAGAGCTGATGGCCCTGGCTCAGCGGTTAGAGCATCAGCCCGCGGACCAGAGTCCTGGGTTTGGTTCCCGCTAAGGGCACGTACCTCGGTTGCAGTTTGTCCCCACCTGGGTTGGGGTTGTGTGGGTGGCAACCAGTCGATGTGTCTCTCTCACAGCAATGTTTCTCTCTCTCTCCTCCCTCTCTCCCTCCCGCTCTATCTGAAGATAAATGCAAAAATGTCCTCAGATGAGGATGAAAAAAAGAAGAGCTGACGGAGGCCATGCCAGGCTGGGTGAACCGCAGCTCGGGTCCTTGGCTGTGAGTTCCTGGGAGCCTGGTGTCCACCTCTAGAGGTTGGCAATGTCCCTGTGGTCTTGGGCCAGCTCCCCTCTGCTTACTCTGCCAGGGAACTTCGTAGACCTCAGAGCCTCAGGCCCCTTCCCCGCCTCAGGTTGAGGGGGCCGAAACCAGTACTCCTGACACCTGGCTGTACCTAGGCCTCTAGGTGGCCAAGGGCAGCAACCCTCAGCCTCCCCAAAAGGGGGTTGTTAGGGGCTGAATGATGTCCCCCTAAATTCAGATGCTGAAAAACTACCCCCAATGTGGCATCAGGAGGTGGCCTTGGAAGGCAATTAGGGTTAGATGAGGTCACGAGGGTGGGTCAGCGCCTCTGAGAAGAGGAAGCCCCAAGCACACTCGCGCTCTGCCCCGTGCGGACACAGGAGAAGGTGGCCGTCTGCAAGCCAGCAGGAGGGCTCTCACGGGAACCCGAGGCCGGCACCTTCACCTTGAACTTGCAGCCTCCAGAACTGTGTGAAATAGAGGTCTGGGGTCTGAGCCCCCAGCGCGTGGCGCTCTGCTCCGGCAGCCCGAGCGCCTGGACAGGGACATGGGCATGAGCACAGGTTCTAGAGCCAGGCCGCCTGGTTCAAACCGCAGTCCCACGACTTCCACGTCGCACAGCCCTGCGCAGGCCGTTTACCCCCTCTGTGCCTCAGCTGCCTTGCCTGTGAATTGGGAATAATTAAGAGTACCTACCTCACAGGTTGAAGTGAATATTAATTAATACAGGTAGAGTGATTCAAGCTGTGCCTGGCGCTTAATAAGCACTCAGTACGTGCTGGTCGTTATTGTTCCTATTGCCTCCCTGGAGGCAGGGACGCCACCCACGGCCAGCAACAGGTTTGGGGCGGGTCTCCCGAGGCCCCAGGATGCGAGGACTTTGGTCCTGAAGCAGGTGTGAAAAGAGCTCCACTCAAAACCAGGCTGTGGCCCTGGCCGGTTTGGCTCAGTGGTTAGAGCGCTGGCCTGTGGTCCAGAGAGGCTGGGGCTCGGTTCCCGCTAAGGGCATGTACCTCGGTTGCAGTTTGTCCCCGGCCCTGGTTGGTCGTCCGGGTGGCAGCTACTCGATGTGTCCCTTTCATGTCGCTGTTTCTCTCTCCTTCTCCCTCTCTCTCTCTTCCTCTGTCTCCCTCCCACTCTATCTGAACAAGGAATGGACGAATGTCCTCAGGTGAGGATAAAAAAAACAAAACAACCAGGCTGTGCCCCAGCTCCCAGGGGAGCAGCTCCCTTCATGTGAGGGCTGCCTACTACTATTATTATGTTGTTGCTGTGACTACTTTGATTATAAATAGAGATTTTTTTTTTTAATGGCAGTTTTCAAAACAGTTCCTCCTTCAGAAGAAAACTTACAAAAATGCCCCTTTGGGAAGAACCCACAGGGTTTTGTGGGCACTTCTGCCTCTGGCTCTGAGACCGCCCCTGGCCACACAGCTGCCTGTGATCTCAGACACAGAGCGCACGGCTCATAGCTAAGTACCTTCCATACCAGGGTGAGAGGGCCACCTTTGCTCCACAGATAAATTTGTGTCTTTTAAAATCAAAACAGCTTTTTTCAGGTATTTGTCAGCCACACGCCATGGTTTCTGTCCAAAGTCTGGCTGCTATCAAGGTTGACTCTTGGTGAACTTGCCGGTGTGCTGGGAAGAGGAAGGTAAACTTTGCGGAACGTGCACGCCGCTGGGAACACTGTAGGCCTTCAGTACAAGTCTGGGTTCCGACTGTTTGGACACTGTCAGGTGGTGTGCTGTGACCTGACCTAATGGACACATACGGCCAAGTGGAAGTTTGTCCAGCAGCATCGATTTGCTCACGGGGACAAGATTCCCTTTAATGGCTTTGACTCACGTTGATGGCAAACCTGCTCTTTCTCCCTGGCCAGGAGCCGGGCAGGGGGCAAGGGACAGAGAGGACTTAGCACAGGCCCCAGAGGAGCTCAGGTCAGGGGTCAGGGGCAGCACTGAAACATGAATACAGGTACCGAGGGACAGGGCCATGTGCTGCCCAGGGAGGCCCAGAGGAGCAGGTAAGGGACTCCTCCATGACAGAATGGGACGGGGGGAGGGGGGGTCAGGAAAACTGACCCTAAGGAAGCAGCATTGGAACTGGCCTTGAAGGCGGAGGAGGTGCAAAGGTAGGCAGATAGGGAATGTCATTCCAGAATGAGGGGACAGCATGTGCAAGGCACGGTGAGCACGTGAGGTGAGACCAGCAGATGGTGGGGCTGGAGCAACAGAACCAGACGGGAAGAACTCCGCGGACTTGCCTATTGGTCCTTCTGCAAGGGCGTGGCAGCTTAGACTATTCCGGAAGCCGTTCAAACTTACTTGAATCCCATAAACATATACTGGAGCCACAACCAGGCGAGCAGCAGCATTATCAGCATGTTGGGGAAGGCAAATCCAAACCAAGAGGCGAAGTTCACAGTGTCTTTGCTGTCAGGAAACAGTCTGAAGAGAGAAACAGCGGTCCGTATCTCTGCCGGATGCCAAGCCGCAGAGAACACGCAGGGTGGGCCTGTGGGTACAGGCCGGGCAGCAGCCGGACCCTGAGAGGTGGTCTGGACTGGAGGTCTCATCCTCCTGAGGCCCGGCCATCCAAGGCCACCGCCTGGGTCTACCTCAATCAGGTGGGGGCCGCAGAACACAGCCATGCACAAGACAGGCCCGAGGAGCGACCAACTAGCCCTCCTGGGGGTCCAGACCCTGCTGAGCAGCTCGTGAAAGTCGTTGGCCAACAGCATCAGGAGGACCACAGATGCCTCGGTAGCCTCACCCTGTGGGCTTCTGCCAGGGAATGCCCCACTTAGGAAACAAATCTCAGAAGCTTCCCGGAAGGGACCAGAAGCTGGTTCTGCGGGCCGGAGGGCCACTCTCGCTGCAGGCTGCCCTCCCAGCCCCCGCGGTGCTCGCTGTAGCCCAAGGGTGTCCAAGTAGACAGCTTTCTGCTCTCACCGGGAAATCCAGGGAGAGCTGGAGGCTATCATTACAGAGAACACTCACAGGAGCAGAGCAGTCTGCTGGTCGGACCTCCAGTGTCTGCCTGGCCAGGCTCCAGGCCTGTCCTTCCCACCTCCCCGCTGCCTCCCCACCTGTCCAGGGCTCGTCTGCACAGGACGGGCACCAACACACGTCCGTACTTCCCTTCATCACATGTACGTGACCTGCCTAGACCTCTCCAGGCATCTGCCACCCTCAGCAGACCACGAGTATGCCGCAGATAGGGCCCAGGTCTCCCTCACTTCTGACTCCAGCCCCTCCCAGCACGACGTCAGGCATATGCCTGGGTCCTCAAGGCCTGTGTCCCTTTGGGCCAAGGAAAGTTCCAGACCACCACTGTGGTCCTGAAGCCTCACAAGGGCACAGGTCACCTCAAGGGCACTTCGAGGAACTATAGGGACTGAGCTGGCGAGGCAATGAGTGACCCTTGACGCCATCTCTAGATGCCCCGTATCACAGGGCCATTGCCACTCACGGCCAAGGTCGGTGAGCCCGTTTTGAGGAGAACATCCACAGTCGTATCTATTTTCGGTAGTTTTAAACAAGGACCCGGCACCTGAAACTATGCCGTCACTTCCCACGACTTTAGCCCAGAGTTCAAGCACACGACCTGTCTGAGCGAAAATTCTGAGCCCCAGGACAGAAAGCAACCAGTCTGGGGCCTGTGATCAGCTCCCCCCCTGAGTCCTGAGCAGCTGCCGCAGAGGCTGATGGGGCCACAGCCTCCGAACCCTGCCAGACCCCGGCTCCAGGGCCCGGCGGGGGAGGAGGGAGAGGAGGCCGAGGCCCTCCAACCCCAGGGCCCACACTGTTGTCCCCAGAAGGCATGGCCAGCGACTCACTCGTGCATCTGGCCCAGGAGCACCACGTTGGGTCCTGTCCCGGTCAGGGTGGCAGTGCCTCCGATGCTGGCCGCGTAACACACGCACAGGGTCATGGCCTTGCATATGCTCTTCCTGCCACAGTTCTCCTGCTCGCCCATAGCAGGGCCTTCAAAAATCACTCGGCTCCCTGTAGTGACACACCTCCGTGAGCAGAGCCAGCCCGGGGGCGCCTGCTCAGCCCCAGCTCCCCTCTGCCGCTGCCCTGAGGACGGGGCCCTGCTGGCTCTGCCGGCTCCCTCCTCGGGTTCTCCTCCGCCTGCAGCCCTGCCCGCCCTCCCACAGTCAGACGCCTCCGTGCCCAGTGCCAACTCGGGGGCTGCACATATGTGCCCTTTCCTGCCTCCTTGCCTTTGCTCCAGCTGGTCCCTCCATCTAGGGGGTGTCCACATCCATCCTAGATGTCCCTTCCTCCTAGCAAGGCCTCTCCCTGGTCTGAGCTCCTCTGGTGTCTGGCTCATGGCATCCTGTGGCTTCCCCGAGGTGGGGGAACTGTTGGAGGGGCCTCATCACTCCACCCCACTGGGCTCCTTGAGTCCGAAGTGGGGGTGTGTCCGCGTCATCTCAGCAGCCCCAGGACCTGGCCCAGAATCTGGCAATCGGGCCCTCAGAATGGGCCCCGAGCTCCCCTGTGCTGGGCCTCGGGGGTGGGGTACAGACAAAGCAGAGAAGGAAACAGGCGCCATCTAACTTCCCTGAGCTCAGCACCTGGCAGGGAAACAACTCGGGCAACCACCCCAGGACCTGTGGGGGCAGAGAGCGGAGGGGAGGCTTGACCTGTTCGGGGGAGGCCTCCCTGAGGATGAGTAGCATCAGCAAAGGGTGAGGGACCCCCACAGTGGGTGCTCAAAAGATGCTCAACTGAGTAATCAAATGAACACCTATTGATTTCTGTGGTTGGCAGGAACGAAGGATTGAAACTTATTATAAGCAGCACTAAAGGTTTTAACTTTTATGCAAAAATGATGCTCCTAAAACTTACAAAAACAGCATTTTCTAAGTATTTCTCCACATGCTTGTTTAAAAGTGGGCTCCGGGGTCGGGGAGGTGGCCAAAGCTTTTGACGAGAGGGGACTGCTGTCACTGTGGACCCCGGCAGCTCCCGGCCAGGGGCTCACCTGGCAGCTCACTGGTTTTGCCTTTGTCCGCCAGCTCCAGGGCCCCCAGGCTAGCCTCGGTGGCCGAGCTCGTGGCCTCCATCTGCTGCAGCACGGCCTCCACGATGGGCACCATCATGGCCGTGGTGGCCGTGTTGCTGATCCACATGGACAGGAAGGCCGTGGCGCCCATGAAGCCCAGCATCAGCCTGCAGAGGAAGAGCAGAAGGGAAGCCGGCCAATCCCCTCCCCGAGTGCCCCAAGCCTTAGGTAGCAACAGGGGTTGGGTGCCCCTGCAGGGATGCCAGGGGTCAAGGCCAAGGTGCTGACACCAGTTCGAGACTGGGTAGTCCAGGAGAGTCTTGCAGTTCTAGTCCCTCCCTCCCTCCTTCCCTTTCTCCCTCCCTCCTTCCTTCTTTTCTCCCTCCTCTCTCCCGCAGACATTACTGATGTCTACTCTGATGGCTACTGGGGGCACCAAGAGGCCTTTCTCAGACCCAGTCGTGGTTCTAAGGAGCTCCTGTCTAGCAGGGGCAGCACAGGCACCCAGGTGGTGCCACCCCAGTGCGAAGAGCAGCCCCCACACCCCACTTCTATCTAGAAGATTCCCACCCAGCCCAGACCCTGCTTCTCCTCTCATACATTCAGAAGGGCTGCACAGTTAGCCCTCAGGGGCAGGGTGAGCCTGGGAAAGTGGGCCTCCCTCGTGGCCGACCACCCCCACCCCTCTCTGCGCACACACGCGTCGCACCCTTTCCACTCTGCGCTGGACTAGATGGAACAGTATTCAGAAAACACGTTCCCATTATTTATAACACCTGTCTTCCACCTCTGTCCCACCTCTGCCGTCTGCTTGGAACATGCCTCATGGTCCTTCAAAACCTGTCGCACCATGTCCCTCCTCCGGGGCCTCCCTCCCGGCGCCCGCCAGGCAGGGCTGAGCACACCCTCCCCAGCCCCGCAGCACTCATCACTGGCTGGGTTCGGAGGACCTGTTTCCAGGTCCGCCTTTCCTCAGATGGTGAGCAGGGGCAGGGTCTGCTTCTTCTCCGTGGCCGTACCCCGGCACAAGGCCCAAATCATGGGGCTCAGGGAGGGCCGGCTAAGTGAAACAAAACTGCTTGCAGTCTCTGTGCCCTCTACGGTCAGGCCGCTCCCCAGGGCCACCGATCCGCCGGAGGAAGGGACCTAAGGCTACACCGCACTGAGGTCCAAGCTGGTGTCCATGTAGGTCGACTTCACAGACCCACGAGAACAAAGGCTTGGATCCAGGCTGGAAGCAGGATGGGAATTTTCATGAATGAGGCTTCGCTAAGATGCTTCAAGACGCCAAGTGGGCCTCAACATAAAGGTCGCCCAGGGCAGGCCGGTGCCATGCACAGCTGGATGCCAAGCTCAGAAGAGAAGCCTGGCGACAGGAAGGGGCAAAGAAGCACGCGTGAACATCTGAGGTTTGGGAACAGAAGCTCTTCAGCATTCTCAGAATGAGGGCCACCTGCTGATGGAGAACAGCTGGCCACTCAAAGGATCCTGAGAGCAAGAATCCTGAGGCTGCTGAAGTCTCGCATTTCTAGAAAATGCAATGGCTTTGACTTGATCCTGTAACCAGTCACTGGGGGGGAAGGGATACCATGAAGGGTGACAGAGACCAGAGAGTCACAAAACCTTGTACTGGGGGAGCCTGAGGTGCCAAGGGAGCCAGGCATCATCTCCTGGGGGGGGGGGGCGCAGGCTCTATGTGCTCAGAGCCTGCACAGTCCCTGACACGTGGACATCTCGGGAGGGATTTGCTGTGAACTGACCAACTGCTGCCTTCCCAGAGCCGGGGTGAGGCACAGCATCATTTAGGGAGCACACTGCCTCAAAAGAAAGGTGGTTTGCCCGGGCGGTGTGGCTCAGTGGTTGGGCATCGACCCATGCACCAAGAGGTCGTGGTTGGGCCTGATCCCCAGTGAGGGGCATACAGGAGGCGGTCAATCGATGTTCTCCCTCATCGATGTTTCTCTCTCTCTCTCCCCCTTCCTTTCTCTCTATAATCAATAAAGAAAAAATATTTAAAAAAAAGAAAAAGAAAAGAAAGAAAGGTACGTCCTGGGCTCTCTACTAGAGGGGCAAGGCTTCATCTGACAGCCAATCACTGAACCCCTCTCTGTCCCACCTCTCAGAGTTGTGGTGAGAGTTAAGTGAGGTGAGGAGTAAGCTCCCAGTGTCACGCCTGGGGCCTTGCAGACGCTCAAATACCCGGGTGATTCTGATGATATCAGTTCCCTGGGTTGGTTGGAAATTGCCTGTGATTGGGTGAAGGAGACCTTGGAGAGAGGGGAGAAGCTGAGGTTCTAAGTGATATGAAGGAGGATGAGGTAAAAAGCTTCTTTGCAGAGGCGGAGGATGGGCCAGCTTTGGAAGGAGAAACTTTCTGCCTCCTCCTGAGTGGGGTGGTTGAGCCACCTCTGGCCAACTTTCCCCACAAATGCCCTATCAGGCATAGCTTGATCCAGCCTCCACCCATCCTGTTCCCTGTAGAACCCTGCAGCCCCTCCTCCAGGAAGTCCTCTGAACATGCAGGGACCCTTGCTGACCAGTCGCCTCTGGACTCAGAGTACCTTACCTAGTGCTGCTCACCACAAACCCCCACCATTACCAATGCACCTGCTTTCCCCAGCTAAGATCGTCACATGCCCCACCCAGAGGCCCAGCTGCCTGCCAAGCCCAGGTAAGGCCGCGGGCAGCCCTTGCCAGGGGTGACCTGGTCTGTGCGACGGCTCCTCCCCAGCCCTGGGGCCCACAGGGAGCCCGTGGCAAGGAAGAGAAGGCGTAATTACTGTGCGGGCTTGGTCCCCACCCAGAGGAGCGTGCGCAGGGCGATCCTCTTGTGCAGGTTCCAGCGCTCCACGGCCACGGCCACGATGAGGCCACCCAGGAACAGCATATTCGTGTCCTTCATGTACTGGACACACACCTGGGAGGTGGTGGCACAGAGGCCCCATCAGGGTTGCCTCCTGGCCACCACTGCGTGGGCCCAGGGCCACCCAAGTCCCCAGAGACAGGCGAGTAGACCAGATGCTGACTTGAGGGACAGCTGGGAGAGGAACGGAGGGTCAAATGGTCTGTCTCCATGCCAGAAAGAATCCACAGTGGGCTTTTCTGGTCCCCCGGGGCCTGGGCAGATCAGAAGGGGGCTTCGAGAAGGAGCCAGTGGGAGAAGCAGGAAGCCACCAGGGTCCCCTGGGTCTGCTCACCTGCTTGGAGTCCAAAATCTTGAAGAGCGGGAAAAGCAAGGCAGGCATGAGGGAGGTGACAGCCAGGGGGATGACTTCGGTGCACCAGTAAATGGCCATGAGAATGATGACGTAGGCACACCTGGCAAACTGAAGAGACAGCCCTGAGGCCGTGGCATGCTGCCCCCGCCCTCGTCTCACCACCCGTGAGAATGTGCATAATAATACCCACCACCTCGCGGTTCGCGGTTGGTTCGCTGTTTCCTCAGCACTCTCGTTATAACCATTATTAACCACCCGGACCCTGCCCTCGCCCTCCTTCCAACCCAGCCTTTTATACCAGCCACCAGGACCTATTGCTTTCAGCCCTCTATTGCCTGGCCCCTGCCCCCTCCTGCCCTCACCCCAGGGCCACTGCCTTCTCAGGACACACTTTCTCCCGCCTGCGTGGCTGCGACTACCATCTACCTGACCTTCCTGCCTGCATCACTCCACACTGCGCTCCCTCTTTCTCTTTTGCAAATCGCCCTCTGTTTCAAAGTTTCCTTTTGCCTTCAGGACAAAACCCAAAAGCCTTAGCAAGACTTAGGAGACCCCCTGCAACGGAGCAGACTCTGCAGACTCGTCCAGCCCCGTCTCCTTGCCCACTCACACCCCGAGTTCCTGCTGCCCCAGAGACTGGCAGTAACTCAGCCTCCTCTTACACACAGAAGGGGTGTTCGTGGGCTCACTCTGTCCTCAGCACCCAGCCCAGGCCTGACGCCCAGGAGAAGCTGTGTGAATGCCGACTAGAGGAATGGACTAGCAAAGCACAAGCCACCACTACACTGCGGGAAAGACGGGCCTGGACACTGTCGCTGGTTATCATGGATTAACCGAGGAGCATGGATTCTATGCACGAGACACTGCATGACTGTGTTATCAGTCATAAAAAAATAAATCTTTCTTCAGCATCCCACGAGAACCTCAGGACACCTCCCTCCTGTCTAAGGCGGGGGTTCTCAGCCTTTCCACTGTGGACATTTTTGCAGGGATAATTTTTTTTGAGGGGTGGTGTGCCCTGCGCATTGTAAGATATTTAGCAGCGTCCCTGGCCTCCACACCACTAGGTGCCAGGAATACTCTCTCCAGTTGGGACAACGCCAGTGTCTCCAGGCTTTGCCAGATGCCCCCTGCTTGGAAGGGTGCAGGTGTCAATGCTGACTGAAGCTACTGGACTCAAGGCAGGACAGCGGTGTGTCAGAAGCCCAGGCTCTGACCCCAGGCGGTCCTGATCAGTGTCCACTGTCTGGCTTTCAGCAGCCACTCAACAATGCTATTGATAAAACACTCCTCACTCCCAACCCAGCCCCTCTCCCTGTTTGTTTCATGTCCTCACCTGCACACTGAGGAATTAAGAAGCGTACCCATGTTTGGTGCATGGCACACAGAAGGTGCTCAGTGAATTTTTATTATCTAAACTTAGAAACAACCAGTGGCACGGCACGTGTAACCAATTTCCACAGCACAGTTCCTGGAGGCACCAAATGTAACCAACAGAAAAGACACAGTAAGCTGGCCCCCCATCTCCATGCCACTATCAAGAGGCCCAAGAGATGCCCCATCCGAGGTAGACTTGACCGTCTGGTCTAGAATGCTCCACAGTATAGAACAGCGTAGGAGGCATGTCAGGCCAGTCTGAGGAGGGGGCCGGCTCCCCGGGGGTCAGTAAGTTCAGAGCGCTTCCCTGCAGCTGGCACGTGACTGGAAAAGTGCTTAAAGCCCAGATAAAAGTGGGATTTATTTATTTTTCTTTATTGATTTTAGAGCGAAAGGAAGGGAGAGGGAGAGATAGAAACATCTATGAGAGAGGACATCAATCGGCTGCCTCCTGCACGCCCCCCACTGGGGGTCGGGCCCACAACCTGGGCATGTGTCCCGACTAGGAGTTGAACTGGTGACCTCTTGGTGCATGGGTAGATGCTCAACCACTGAGCCACACCAGCCATAAAAGTGGAATTTAAAAGTCAGCACCCAGTATAGAGCCTAGCATATAGTAGGGCCCAATCAATACCTGTTAAATGCACAACTGACTAAAACCATGTATAATTATTAACAAATAAGGCTCCCCATGACATGTTGCTTAATGAAAAAAAAAATGTAGGTAAGAGAACATGCTGCATCTATGTGTGTGTGAGTGTGTGCGCGTGCACGCAAGCGCATACATATGTGCGTAGAAAGAGGGAGAAAAGAGATTGATTTCTGGAAAGACAGCCATCAAAATATCAGTAAGTAATAGGATTTGAGGGTATTTTCATTTTTTACTTTATACTTTACAGACTTTAAAAAGAAAGCATTTTCTTACAATTTTAATAAAATCAATGCTATGTCTGCAATAAACATATCATCGATTTTATTAAAATGCTATTTAAAAACAACAACAACAACAAAAACAGAGAAAGGGCAGAAAAAGTAGGGCAGAGATGAATCCAGGCAGGAACCGGGTGGAGGAGCGGAAGAAAAGAAGGAAGCCTGCAGGAGAGGCCGGGCACGGGCAGAGGGTGGTGTGCCCTCGGAGTCGCTGCCCCACTTGAACAGTGCCTGCCAGGCTGCCAAGTTCTCGCTGGCTTCCCAGCCGCTCTGTCCCATGCCAGTATCTCTGGGTTTCCTTGCACAATGGTGTGGCTGTGGGGGGCGGGAGCAGGGAACTCTTCAGTGGTGACTGTTCAGAGGCACAAGGGAAGAAAACACCAAGACAGGGGTCCAGGGTCCCAGTGACCTGTCCTACTGGGAAGGAAAGTGCGTGAAGGCAGCCTTTGGAAGGACTTTCACAATGTCTCCTCACTCCCAAGGCAGAGTAATGACACTCACAGACACTCAGGGTTGGGCGTCCCAGCTCAGGGCTGGCTGTGCATGTGTGTGTGTGTGTGTGTGTGTGTGTGTGTGTGTGTGTGGTGGGGTGGGAGTGGGGTCTCAGTCACACTCTCCTAGAGCAGGAAGGTCAGCCAAGCTGTATAATTATTCCACAGAACATCACTCCCCACCAGCAGAACTAAAATCACAGCTCTCCTGCCTGGCTCCCTCCCACAGATGGTAACAGCCCCAAATCTCTTTCTACAGAGAAAATATGATTGCTCGCAGTTGGTATGTCAACTGAAGAGCCATCACAGTTTGATCTGCTGTCTGTGACCCATCCAAGGCCTGTGCTCACCCCACTGGAGGCCTTCTCTCAGCCTCCCCCCCCTCCTAGGAACCAGCATAATCCCTTTGGGCACCCAAAGCCATACAGTGTCAGGACCCAACCACCTTGCCCCATTGTACAGACAAGAACACCAAGGCCCCAAAAATGAAGAGGAAAAGGCTTCACTAAAATCACAAGGAAGAGTGAATGAAGTCGGGTTCTCTTGCAGATTTGGCTTCCTGATACCCCAGGACACCCCCAGTCCTCCAGGAATGCCCCTAGAGTATCCCCGAAAGAATTCCTCTGTTTCCCAAACCTGCCTGGAGGGATGGGGGAGCCGGGGGTTTCCTGACTGGGCTGAGAATGAAAGGGCTGAAAGAGGGAATGAAGAAGGAGCAGCCAGCAGCCACAAAAGGCTTCAAAGGGCTCGGGCCTCTGCCAAACAGGCTCCGCACAACCCAGCACAGCCTGGGCCAGGGCTCCCAGCGCCACCCTCACCCTGTGGCCAAGGCCATTCATTCTCTGCCTCCCTCCCAGGAGCTCCAGGAGACCAAGGCATGGGATGGGACATGGCTTCCCTGCAACCCTGAGTCCTGCCACTCAAGGCTTGGGCTCTGGGGACCTGACTGCCTCCTGCCACAGCCACAGCAGGCAATGAGCACAGCAGACCAACCCTGACCTAAGCCGGGAGGAGGGTTTTCACTCAGCTGTGGCTTCTAGGCCTGCAGAGTTGGAAAGAAATGTGGATCATAGATGGGGAAACTGAGGCTCAAAGAAGGGCCAGCGAGTGGCAAAGACAGCATTCAGGATCCATGTAGGTCCCTGACTGATCCTGGAAGCCACCCACAGCTGGGAAGTCCGGATACACGAAGGGAAGGGAAGGAGAGAGAAGGAGGGAAGGCAGCGCTCAGGCTCACTTTCAGCCCGGCTGGCGTTGGGAGTAGGGGTGGGGGGAGGGAGTGAGGTTATGCGCTCGGGAGATTCAGCGTCCCGGACTGAGTCTCTGGATGGGCTGTGTGGCAAGGTCTGTGCTAACTTCTAGATTTGTGTGCTTGTTAAGACGGTTCTTGTCCTGGGAGCTGTAGACCCCAAGGTTGGTGTGCCCCTCGGAATTCTTTACAGCACACCTCCCATCTGGCACCCGGAGCTCCCAGCGGAGCTGTGCCCAACCGGGAGTCCTTGCGTTCCAACTCAGTAACCCGGCGTGCGGCGCCCGTTGACGGGACGCGTAGCCTGGAGTCTGCGGGGCTGCAGGGAGATGCAACTGACCTTAGTGGGCATCAGAATGATGAGTGGCAGCAGCAGTAGTGGGGTGACGAACAAGATCACGAAGGACTTGAACTTGCAGACATAGCTCAGTGCCGAAGCCATCGTGCTGGAAGGAGACGGGTGGGAGAGGCAAGTTAGAGGCAGCGAGAGGCTCTGCGAGCTTAAGAAGGGGCCACAGTCCCGGGGGACGGTTGAGCGGCGGCAACTCCGCCCCCCACGGTGAGGCCTCCGCGAGGCCCCGGGGCGGGGCCACACTGCGGGGTCGGTGGGGCCCGCCTGCCCCCAACTCTGCCACCCGGCGGCGGCAGGAGGTGCCTGCGGGATTTAGCGCATCGGACCCGCCCTCGAGGAGCGGCCGGGCCCCCCCGCATTCTCCAAGCCTTTCCTGCGCTTCCCTGGACAGAGGCCCGCTCCAGGTCTGCCAAGCGAGATGTGATCGGTCATTTTTTCTGCCAGCTTTGGCGTGTGGCTCCCCTTCTGCTCCTGCCTTCCTGGGCCGTGCAAGCGTCCCAGGTGAAAGTCTCCACATGCCTGGGGCCATCTACTCACTCCTTCCGCCCCTCGCACTCACAGGTCGGAGGGGGCTCTGGCAGAGGTGGCGACCCTGCCCCGCGCCCTCCGCCCCGCAGCAGCCTGGCCGTGTCTCACCTCTGGCTTCCCCGACGCGTCCGCGCTGCTTTGGGCAATGGGACCTCTCGCCCCGCGCGCCCTCTCCCACCCAGCGCGGCTGGTGCTCCTCCGCGACCGCTGGGGAGGCGAGGGCTCTGCCTTCTGCAGTCTGAGCGCCTTCAGCCCTCCGGGGGACACCCGCGCGGCCCGCCCACGTTGGTGGGCATCAGAATGATGGGCGCTCCTCTTGGGGCAGGGGACTGAGCCCCAACAGCCGCCGCTGCCCTCCTGACCAAGGCTGCTGCTCCCATTCTACTGAGGGAAATGGATCCAACAAGGAAAGGACTTAACCAAGGCTACCCTGAAAGGGCCATTCATTCATTTGGCCACCTGCCAACAAGTACTGAGCACCTATTCTACGCTAAGCCCTCTTCTGGGTGCTGGGGATACAAGACACTGCCACCTCTATCCTGTTCTCCTTTCCTTCCTTCTCCTCCTCTGCCTGCCTGTCTTCTCGTTCTGTAGCTTTCTTTGGGGGAGTCTTGCCCCTGCTTGAGGTTTAACCACAGCGTGCTCCTTAGTAATTACCACCCTCTGTCTTCAACCCAGCCATGATGTGGGAGTCCCAGATCTCCATATTTCCAACCTTTTTCAGCCTGGCTGGGCCTCAGGCACCCTAAAACTCAGCATATCCTGCCTAAATCAAATTTATGACTCTCTCTTCCTGTGACCTCCACCTAAGAACACATTTTCCCCCAGACCCTTCCTGCATTTGCTTGTCTTATGCCCCCCCCTTTGTAATTCTCTCATCTAACCCTGAATTTTCCTCCCCCACCCCCATCCCAGAGCACTTAGCATTATTTGTACTTATATATTTATCGGTGTGATTTTTATTTAATGCCTGTTTTATTCAACACCTTAATGTTCAACCAGCACCTTTTATAGTGCCTGATACAGTGTATGCACTCAAAACATTTTCTCTGGGATGTATAAATGAAGGCATGTAAACCATTTCAGTACAGCAAGGCAACTGCTTGAATGGGATCATAACGTGGTTAGAGCGTGGACTCTGGAGCCAGACTGCCCGGATCCTCATGCTGTCCCTCCCTGTCTCATCCTGGCCGTGTGCCTTAGACACGTTGCCTTCTCTGAGCTCCTTTTTTCATGACTGGGAATAATAACACCAACTTTGATGTCAAAGATTGCTTTGTAAACTATATGGGTTAATGCTCAGAGTGTTTAACACAATGCCTGATATATAGTAAGCAATCTGTAAATATTTCCTTTTGCAGTTATATGCAAAACATAATTTTGAGTGGCAGGACCAATAGGGGAAGTGACATTTGAACTGAGACTTCATTCAAACTTAAGAAAAAATTTGCCGGGCAAGCAATAGAAGCCAGTCATAATCACCAATGAATAAGAAAGTATTAAAAGTGTTGAGAAAAAATCCCAAGATAGTTCAGGAATACTGGAAACTAAAGTACAACAGCAACAGCAACAACAACAACAGAAAAAGCTAAATTAACGGAGAGATTATACCAAGTTTATGGATAGGAAGACTAAACATTGTAAAGAGTTTCATTCCTCTCAAATTAAACTATAAATTCATTTCAAGTCCATTTAAAGTCCCCAAAGAAGTTTTATTTGACAAGCTAAATCTAAAATTCAAACTTTTATAAGGAGCCAGGAATAGTTAAGACACATCTGGAGAAGTGGAGGGAAAATTGCCTATCAGAATTCAAGATTCACAGTTACAGTAATTAATGTCATCATTAACTATTGTTATGAGAATAGAAAAATAGATCAGGCCCTGGCCGGTTTGGCTCAGCGGTTAGAGCTTTGGCTTGCAGTCCAGAGAGATCTGAGTTCAGTTCCCGCTAAGGGCATATACCTTGGTTGCAGTTTGTCCCTGGCCCCGGTTGGAGTCATGTGGGTGACAACCACTTGTGTCTCTCTCTCACGTAGATGTTTCTCTCTCTTCCTCCCTCTCTCCCTCTCGCTCTATCTGAAGATGAATACGAAAGTGTCCTCGGGTGAGGATTAAAAAAAAAAGAAAAATTGATCAGTAGCATAGAGTGAAGAGCCTAGAAATAGACCCATGCTTACAGGGAAACTTGATATGCAAGAGAAATTGCATGGACCAGTTGATGCCTTACTGGCAGCTGCAGGACCAATTAGTTTTCAGCAGTAGAGAAATTTTTCTTACACTACATATGTTAAACACATATGAAAAGTTTGATCATAATATGTAATAAATTAATAAAGTTATTTCTTCCATGTTATTCATGAGTCATTTAATTATTTCCAAAAGCGAAATGAGAGTTCAATTTTTACATGCAAATTTGTTTACCAAAGAAATGCTCTGCTTTTATCATATTCCCACTTCACCAATAACTTATAATTTTAGCCACATATTATATCACATGATAAAAAAAGTAATGAAAAAGAGCATGTCGGAATATACCCTAAGAAGCATAAAACACCAATAAGAAAGGATATATGTAACCCCATCTTTGTAGCAGCACTATTTACAATCGCTAAGATCTGGAAACAGCCCAAGTGCCCATCAGTAGACGAATGGATCAAAAAGCTGTGGTACATATACACAATGGAGTACTACGCAGCGGTAAGAAAGAAAGATCTCTTATCCTTTGAGACTACATGGAGGGACCTGGAAAGTATCATCCTAAGTGAAACAAGCCAAACAGAGAAAGACAAATTTCATATGATCTCACTTATTTGTGGAATATAATGAACATAACAGTTTGAGGAATGAGGTAGTCCCAGAGACGCGGAAGCGGGGTACAGACTGACCATCCCCTAAGGAGTGGGGAGGTGGGGGAGGGATGAACCACAGAACTTATACGCATGTATGCATGAACAGTGGACATGGACAACAATCTGGGGAAGGGGCAGAGAGGGGAGAGGGAGGGGGGAATCAGTGGGGGAAAAAAGGAGAATCATCTGTAACAAAAATTAATAAAATAAATAAATAAAAAATAAAAATATCAAAAAAAAAAAAAAAGAGCATGTCAATTTATATCTTGTATTGATTACATTATCATAAAGTGGGTTAATTGGGTCTCAATCATTTTATCTCAATGTGGCTGCTTTTGGTAACCTCTCGTCAGGATGTGTTCTATATTTTATTTCTTGGGTTTTAAAAATAATATTTCTCAAAATATGAATCCAAACACTAGAATGTATTTTTTTTTTAGAATGTATTTCTTGAACTTAAAAATAACTAATTCCCTAACTAAAAATAGGAACATACATAAATCAAAATTATTTTAGAATATTTAGTTATAATGATACATAGAATATAATTGTATAATGCAAATTTCATCCCCATATGAATAAATTAATAGAATTTTTATCTTAAAATTGAGGCAGTAGAAGTCTCCTTTGGGTTTAAGATTTTTAAATTAGGTGTGTTTTATCAATATGATCTCAGTTTCAACATGCAGTCACTACTCTCGGTTCAGAATTAATTGGCATTGTGTACAATTTAAATTTTTGAAAATTTGCCAGCCTATAGACCCATTTCTAATCAATAGAAAATGGGGGTATTGAAGAAAATAAAGATGAGAATTTTCTTGGATATAGTAAGGTGGCAGATGCCATTTTTAAAAAACAAAACAGACTCCAGACATGATACAAATATAGGAAAGTTTTTCAACTCCACAAAATCCAAGTACAACCAAATCAGAGTTTAAAGTCAAACTTTCTGATGCTGTGCTGAGTTTGATATGCCATCTCTCTAGCAAAGTCATTGATTTACAAAACCATCTATTAAGCAAAAGCATTGATTTACAAAACAGTCAGCTTCTAAAAACGCACCATTAATTTTTCATTGAGATATAATTAGCATATAACATTCCTTTCAGGTACATAATATAATGATTCTATATTTGTGTATATTGCAAAATAATCAGCATAATAGGTCATTGTCATCCATCACTAGACATAGTTACAAACATTTGTTTTCTTGTGATGAGAGCTTGTAAGACCTACTCTTATAGCAACTTTCAAATATACAATTCAGTATTATTTACAATAATCACCATGCTGCATATTACATCCCCTTGACTGACTGATTTTATCATTGGAAATGTGTAACTTTTGAACCCCTTCACCATTTCACCACCCTCTCACCCCTGCCTCTCTGGATTCCCTTTTTTTCAATTTCACATATAAGTGAGATCATATAGTGCTCGTCCTCTTCTGTCTGACTGATTTCATTTACCATAATCCCCTCAAGGTCCATCCATGTCGTCACACATGGCAAGATTTCCTTCTTCATCCACTTACTCATTGATGGACACTTCTGTTGTTTTCAAAACTTGGCTATTGTAAATAATGCTGCAATGAACCTAGGGTGCATTTTTTTTTTTTTTCAAATTAGTGTTTCCATTTTCTTCAGATAAATACCCAGAAGTGAAATTGCTGAATCATGTGATAGTTCTATTTTTAATTTTTTGAGAAACCTCCGCAGTGGCTATACCAATTTATATAGGGTGGGGGCAA